AGTGTTATAAAGCCGACTGACATGGGGTTTGGGAGGAAACTGAGAAAAGAGGGGATAGATAATGAACACTGAATTCGAACAGATGAAGGAAAGAACTGTTTAAAAGGCATACTTTGATTAGGCATTATCTGTATGAAAACAGTCCAGAATAAGAAGTGCACAGCAAAGTGGGCTGGGGGTGGGAGAAGGAAAATATGTAACAATTAATAGATTTTTTTTTTAACTGAACTAGGGGAGGGAGCCCCTGGTAGCCTAGTGGCAAGAAGCTGTACTGCAATCCTGAAGGCCCATGGTTTGAATCATGCTCTGCTGGAGAAGGAGAGTCACTCTCCTCCTGTGCCAGTTGGATCTGATTCAACAGTATACAATAACAATAAAAAGTGTAAAAAAAAGTAAAGTGAACTAGGGGGTAGGATGGAAAATGTGCAACAATTAATGAATAAAAATCCAACTTTTCTGTAAACTTCCATTAAAATCACAATTCAAAAAACAAGAAAATATTACATAAAATGCCTTGACACTTGCAGATTATTGAATAAATGTGTGCAGATAAATTCCAAACAATGACAAAAAAGCTGAGAAATTACTCTAGATAAAGGTATAGTGACCCAACAATTATTGTAATGCTGGAGTCTATGTCAGGGGAAAAAATTATAACCATAAACTGTTATAAAGGACAGAGCCAAGACACTGATGAAATGTGAAAATGGTTTTATCTTGTCAATGTTACGTTTCTGAACTGTGATATGCATACTTTGAAAGTCTTCATCTTTAGAAACATTCTGGAGTATTTAGGAATAAAGGGACATGAAGTCGTCAACATCTTTTCAAAAAAACATGTGATTTGTTGCTGTGAGTTGTCATGGAGTTGGCCCTCAAGCCATAGTGACCCCACGTACAACAGAGCACAACGCCCCTTTCTGTGCTGTCCCCACACTCAGCTGCGCCAAAAAGAGAAACAAAGTCCTGATACATTCTACAACTTGGAAAAACTATGCTGAGTGAAATTATATGAATATTTTATGATATTTTATAGAACGATTAAGGGTGATGGTTGAACATGAATGGGATTTAGGTCAATGAACTACACAAATGAAGACTACTAAAATTGCAAATGATATGTTTCTCTCTCACCATAAAAAAACATACTGTGTATACACACACACACACACACAGAGACTCACACACGTATAGATGCAGGTTTATAAAGAGACCAGGAGAAGAGCTACAAAGCAGTTGTTGTTGCTGTGTGCTGTCAAGTTGGAACTGACTCACAGCCAACCCTCCAGCAGGTTTTCAGAGACTAAAATCTCATGAGATTAGCCACCTTTCTCTCACAGAGAAGCTGCTGGGTTTGAACCTTGTGCCTCTGGGTTGACAGTACAACCCCTCAGTATTATACCAGTGAAAGAAGAAAACCCTCAACAAGATGGACTGAGCAGCAAGGGGCTCAAGTATGTCAGAAGTGATGAAGATGTCATTGGATAGGACAGCATTCAAATCTCTCGTTTATAGGATTGCTATGAGTCATACTTGACTCAAAGGCACCTAAAAAAAGCAACATATAAAGAATGATAGCATAAGACAGAAAAAATCACAACAGCAAGATAAAGGCAAACAACCAAATTGAAAAATGGACACAGGAAATGAACAGACACTTCACCAAAGACATTCATATGGCCAACAAACACATGAAGAAATGTTCAAAATCCCTAGCTCTAAGAGAGATGCATGCACATCAAAACAACTATGAGATATCATCTCACCCCAGTCAGAATAGCAAAATTCAACAGAGCAGCAAACAACAAATGCTGGCAAGGTTGTGGAGAAACTGGAATCCTTATTCACTACTGGTGGGAGTATAAAATGGCGCAACCACTGCGGAAGGTGGTATAGAACTTTCTCAAGAAGTTGCAAATAGAAATACCATTTGACCCAGCAATTCAACTACTGAGAATATACCCTAAAGAAACCAGAACTGCCACCCAAGTAGATATATGCACATTCACGTTTATTGCTGCTTTGTTCACAATAAGCAAAGAGTTGGAAACAACCTAATGCCCATCAACAAATGAATGGATAGAGAAGCTCTGATATATTCACACAATGGAATACTATGCTGCATTGAAAGACAGGGAACTCATGAATTATTACATGAAATGGGTCACTCTGGAGGACATTATGCTGAGTGAAATATCTCAGTCAAAAAAGGACAAATACTGCATAGTGCTACTGTTGTAAAGCGGGACTGACATTGGAGTTGGGGGGAACTAAGAGGGGATGAATAATGTATACAGCATTGAAACAGATGAAGGAGAGAACGATATAAAAGGAATATATGATTAGGTATTACTGGCATGACAAGAGTCCAGAATGAAAGCTGCATAGTGGAGTGGACTGGGGTGGGGGGAGAGGGGGATTATATAATGACGAAATAAATGTTTTTTTAAACTTTTCTTTTTTTTTTACAACAATACTATCTATTTAATAAATTAGTTTTTCTTTATATCTTCACATTACACGTGAAGTTACCATGAGTCAGAATTACAGAATTGACGTGATGGGAATTTTCTATTTCTCTGCCACCTCATTATACAGAACAACTGATGTGAACACTGCCCTTTCTTTTTCTTATTTTTTAATTTTATTTTATTAATTTTAACGAACATTTATTTACAGATATTTTGGACTTCCATTCATTCACTGTTGCATTTTTTAACTCTTCAGAGAGAAAAGCGAACTGGGGTGAGGAGTAGGCAGGGAGTAAAGTGTGCAATTGAATGGAAATCCAAAGTCTCTGTAAACTTTTACTAATAAATTTTAAAAAATAAATTAAAAAGAAGGGAAAAGTACCCCCAACAGCTTCCCAATTAGAGAAGGTGTAGGATGACCAGGACTGGAACATCAAGGGCAACCACACAGGACACATCTGGCCCTCTGGGCAGCTCAGAATCTGCTGGCCTATAGTATGGCTTGGGCGCCCTGTTCCTGCAATATGAGGTCAAAGGACACCAGGATGTGCAGCAGACACTGTCCCTGGGCAACCAACTCTACTCGTTCATCCAGAATTGGCCATGCTATCAAGATTGAGTCCCTGGCAGCCAGGTGGTCCCCCACCCTGTTCCAGCTGGAAACCCCAACCACTGCCTCTTCCACCAATAAAGGCACAGCTTCAAAGAAAAAAAAGCAAAAAGTAAATTAATAAGTAAAGAATATTTTACAAAAGTAAATAAAGCACCATCAAAAGAGAATTAGTTTTTGTTTGGGTGGTTTTTTTTGTTTTTTTCAAACTAATTGTACTGGTTATTTCAATGGTTCAAGAATGTCAACAAAGTCTGCCGTTTTTCAATTGCTACTCCAGGAATAGATGGTATACCAATTGACATATTTCAGTTAACAGATGCTGCTGTGGACGTGCTCACCAAGTTGTGCCAAGAAATCTGGAGAACGACCACTTGGCCAACTGACTGGAAGAGATCGATATTTGTTCCTA